AAGTATAAAAGCACCTTGTACTGATTCTTAGTGCAACATTGAGCAAACCTCATTCGATCCTGTGACAGGAGTACCCCCGATAGACAGAGGACAGGCAGGGTCAGAGACCAGAGCGGTGGCGTAGTCAAGGCGGCGGGTAGAGGCGAAGTCAGTGACCGCAGCGACAAGGGCGTCAAGACTCGAAACCGGAACAGACAGGTCAGTAACGAGGGAGGCAAGGACCCGAGGAACAAGAGGACGAGCGGCACGCAGGTAGTCAGACAGAGGGGGGGGAGCAATAACAAGGGAGGACAGAGGGGGCGACGGGAGAAGGGGAGGACGAGACGCGTGGGAACGAAGCAACATAGGGTAAGAGCGCGAGACAGGTCGAGCACGGGAGGGGCGGCAAGACCAGACATGAGACGGAGGAGTCAGGTCAGGAGACAGAGGAGGGGACACAGGAGGGGAACGAGGGGGAAAACGGGCCGGAGGAGGGAACACAGGGCCGTAGACAGGAGGAGGAGGAGGCACGGGCACGGGGTCAGGGGACGGAAGGCCGAGCAGACGAAGAGCGGACACCGGCGGGGACTGCTGCAGCGGCGGTGTGACACGGACACCGGGACCGCAAGCGGCCTGGCGGCTACCTCCAGAACACTCCACGCCAGCACCCCCAGAAGGAACACCCCTAGAGCTCAGAACCCCTCGAGCACTGGTACCACCCCCACGCCCGCCGGGACAAGCCACGACAGGAGTTCCAGGACTAGTACCCACCCCAACTCCAGCACCCCCAGAGGCAACGAACGGCTGCGGCGACGTCTACGGCGGCGGCGTCTGCGACAGCGGGGGCGACGGCGGCTGCGGAGGTGGCGGAAGAGGAGACACCGAAGAAGGGACAGGCGGCGAGGACTACGCCGCAGGACCACCAGAGTCAGGAGACTCCTCAACCGGGACAACCGACGTAAGGGGGGTGACGTGGGACACACCAGACGGGGCAGGACGGGGAGGGGGAGGAGGAGGGGCGGCGACGACCGGGGAAGGGGGGACCAGGAAAGGGGGGGGGGTAACCGGGGGACCGCGGTGGGGGAAGCGGCGGAAGAAGGAGACGGACTCGTCAAAGGTGACGTCGCGGGAGTGAAAGAACCGGTGAGACTACGGGTGGTAGAAGTGCCAGTCAGACGCGTCAATGGGGAAGCGGAGGAAGACACAAGGAAGGGTGCGGGCAGTGAGCTTGTCCGTGCCAGAGGCACAAAGGTGAGCAAGGCAGCCCCAAACGCGGAACACAGACGCGTCACCAGGTGACCCAGACCAAAGAAGGGTCGGCAAAACCTGAGGCTGCTGGGGATGCGGTCACAGGTTAAGCTGGTGAGCGGCGTAGCGAACGGCAAATGGCCACAGAAAATGGGGTGCACCGGCATGGATCATGGAGGTGCGAGCCACCTCCATGACCAAACCGATGCGTCGCTCAACGACCCCATTCTGCTGCGGGGAGTCCGGCAAGGTGAACGTCTGGGTGATGTCCTCCGCACGACAGATTCGACCAAGGACACCAAAGGCAAACTCGCCACCACGGTGGGAGTGGAGGCGCAAGACAGGGAGACCGCGGTGGACACGCGCAGCGACAAGCCACAGGATAAGAACGGCAGGCATGTCGGCCTTCCGCTCCAGGGGGAACATAGTGGTGTAGCGCATGTAGTCGACGACAAGCACTAGGAAGTAGCGCTCTTGACGCGGCCCATGGACAGGGGTGGGGCCCCAGACGTCCATGTGCAGAGTCTGTAGCTGTGCTGCGAAAGGGGGAAACGAGGAGGATTGAGGGGCACGGCGGAGCCGGCCCTCGACGCAGGGCGTGCAAGGTGGGGCTGGGGAGGAGGGAAACTCAGGGAACGATCCGGGGAGGCCTAGGACGAGACCGTGCTGTGACATGTGACGCAGACGCGGGAGCGCAGGGTGACCTTGGCGGTGGTGCCAGAGAAGGGTCGGGTGGGTGAGAGACCGACAGGAGCAGGCAGCAGCAACCTGAGGAGACGCAGCCACCTGAGGGGGGGTCCCAGCCAGGGGGGTCACCGTGTCGAGTGTGAAACGACCGGACACCGGGTCCCGTGGGAACGTGGATAAGGGGGCACCAGTGGCGGCCTCGGTACACACAGTGTACCGCTCGTGTCCAGGGAACATTGTGGTGACGCCAAGGTCCTGAAGGCAGCCGACACCAACTAGGTTCCTGGAGAACGAGGGGATGTGCAGACCTGTGAGCGAGCCCGAAGGAACCGCCAGGCAGGGGAGGGTAGTGGAACTGCGGGCAAGTACAGGGCCGGAGGAGGGGTCGGGAAGAGAGACTGCGGCAGGGACAGGGAGCGGTGTCAACGTGGTAGAGTTGTGGAAGAAGCACCGGGAGACGCCAGAGTTGAGGGTGAAGGAGAGCGCGGCAGTGGCGGCCGGAGGCGAAGCAGCGATGGAAGCACCAAGGCTAAACAAAGCAGGGGATCCTACGCCTGACGCAACAGGGGAGTCTAAGCAAGGCACGCCTACACAAGGCAACAAGGGGTAATAAGACGGAAGCACACTAGAGTCATTAGCATACATCACATGCAGAGCAGTAACAATGTCATCCATAGCCTGATAAAAAATCTGAACCCTACGATGAAGCAAGCTCTGCCAGTCAAGGAGCTCGGGCGACGGGCCGAAGCGCTGACGAAATAGGTCATCCAGGCGAGAGAAACAGCGGTCGGAGGTGTGGCCGGTCTTACCGCAAACGAAGCCACGGCGAGGACCGGTCTGGAGCAGGTACTGACAGCGCGCGGGACCCGAACCACCATCCGGCAGCCCACCACGCGCACCACCACCACGTCCAGTGCTACCACCAGCGCCAGGCCACCTGGGCGGGAGACCACTCGCCCGTCTCGGCTGCTGCTGCTGCGACCGCTGCGGCTGCGACGGCTGCTGCGGCTGACGCGGGTCCGGCGGCAACACCGGCGGCTGCTGAGACGGCTGCTCGGCTGCACCTGTCAGGGTCCCCTCGTCCACACCACCACCAGGGGACCCAGCTCCCGCACAACCTACACCTGCACCCCCACCCCCGCTGTCACGCCCCACCTTGGGGCGGCGACCCTTCCCGGAACGGACCTGTGCTGCAGCAGCAGTCTCAGCCACAGCAGCAGAGGCGTCGGAGAAGGTGCACTGAGCGGGGGCGCAACCCGGAAAGATAGGGACCGGCACAGTACCACTGGTCTGGGCAATAGAGCGGTGGCGGGCCTCTATAGCGGACAGGGTGTCAACAAAGTCAGTAAGGGTGAGGTCTCCGGGGTGGACGCTGAGAAAGCGGTCGCGGGCAGTGGCAAGGCGGTCAGGAAGGCGGGTGGCCAGCAGGTAGAGAGCAGAGCAGAGGGGCGGCTGGTGAGCGCAAAGCTGTGTGTCAGTGCAGGCAGCGCGCCAGGTCTCGTCTATAGTGCGCAGGTGGGCGGCCAGGTCAGCAACTGTGGGGAACGACGCAAGGTCAGGGAAGAGCACGGATGGATCAGGCGACCTACCGAGGGAGCAGGCGGGGTGGAATAGCGCTGGACAACAGCATCTAGGAAAGCCTGGGCAGTGGTGATAGACCTGAAGCGAGGTCGCTCGGACAGGGGGAGGGCATTACTAATGGCAAGATGTGCGAGAGCGTCACGGGACAGCCAGACAGAGCGAGCAAGGGCAGCGGCCGCAGCGGACTCACACTCAGCGGACGAGGGGTCAGGAGACGGTGCAGCGGGGGGGTCAGAGCAGGGGAGGGTATTGTCAAGATGGACAGACAGAGAGTGGCCATCCTGCCGCTAACCAGTAAGGTGGCGACGAAGGTCAGCAAGCCACGCATCAAACTCAATCGGCTGGCCCTCAGCGTCAAAGCTAAGCACCTCCGCCATCAGTGACAATAGAGGGCAGTACAGTGCAGTGCAGTACGGCACAGACAGTGCAGTGCGGTGCAGGACGGTGCAGTACGGTACAGTGCGGTACAGTGCGGTGCCGGACGGTGCAGTGCGGTATAGTGCGGTGGACTGCGGTGCAGTGCGGTACAGTGCGGTGCAGTACTGTGTAATGCGGTTGAGTACGGTACCGGGGGGGGGGTTCGCAGGGCGGTGCTGATCGGGAAGAACAGGCCGAACCCCAGGCGGCGGCGGGCTGGCGACGACGCGAATACAAGAGCCGGCCGCAGACGGCAGACGCGAGGGGCCAGCAAACGGCGGCAACGGGGGCCGGCCACGACGGCAAGGAGACACAGCCGCGACGGCGGCCAGGGACAGCCGGGACGGCGGCTAGGGGTGGCCGCGACGGCAGGAGTGACCGTGAGGCGGCTGGAGATTGCAGCGACAGCGGCTAGGGGCGGCCGCGACGGGCAGGGGGCCGGCTAGAGACGGGCACGACGGCCAGGGGGCCGGCTAGGGGCGGACGCGACGGCCAGGGGGCCGGCTAGGGGCGGACGCAACGGCCAGGGGGCCGGCTAGGGACGAGCGCGACGGCCAGGGGGCCGGCTAGGGACGGGCGCGATGTCCAAGGGGTCGGCTAGGGGCGGACGCGACGGCCAGGGGGCTGGCTAGGGGCGGACGCGACGGCCAGGGGGCCGGCTAGGGACGAGCGCGACGGCCAGGGGGCCTGGTAAGGACGAGCGCGACGGCCAGGGGGCCGGCTAGGGGCGCACGCGACGGCCAGGGGGCCGGCTAGGGGCGGACGCGACGGCCAGGGGGCCGGCTAGGGACGAGCGCGACGGCCAGGGGGCTGGCTAGGGACGAGCGCGACGGCCAAGTGGCCGGCTAGGGACGGGCGCGACGGCCAGGGGGCCGGCTAGGGACGAGCGCAACGGCCAGGGGGCCGGCTAGGGACGGGCGCGACGGCCAGGGGGGCGGCTAGGGGCGGACACAACGGCCAGGGGGCCGGCTAGGGGCGGACGCGACGGCCAGGGGGCCGGCTAGGGACGAGGGGGCGGAAGCGTGGGCGGGCTAGGGGGGAACCTAACCTACTATGATACCATAACAGAATGAATGAATGACTAGAATGGTGAGATACAAGGCAATATAGTTTAGAGAGTTGTACCCACTAAGGCACAAACATATATAGTCTACAGTAGCTGCATAAGCTATGTTTGACACTTGCAACCCTGTTTTCGTCAGGGTAAAAAAATTGTAACACTTTTCAGATCAAGGTAACAAATCTCGTAAGTCTGATTTTCAACACCAAATTAAAAAAAAAAAAACACCTGAAAAATCAGGGCAATCAGGGCACTTCACCGGACTAATTTGGGGCCTGGATTGCAATAGGTTGCTCCACATCCCAAAAACAGGATATTGAGTTTGACCGTAAGCCTGATAGAAATAGCCCTGTATCAATAAAACCCACGCTGCGTCACTGCTTGCTGCCGTCCTTCTTCTGGCGGAGCCTCTCCTTCTCCTCCTCCACCTGTGCCAGCATGGCCTCCAGCTCTGTCTCCGGCATCGCCTCCAGCCTCTTCTGCAAGCCACAGCCACCAAACGGTGGGCGGGGTGCGCGAGGGGGGTGGTCGGGGGGGGTGGGTGGTTTGAATAATTGGGATGGGTAGTTGGGAGGAGTAAGGGTGGGTGGGATGAGTATTTGACACTGGTGGGTGAGTGGGGTGGTCGGGAGGGGTAGGTGGGTTGAGTGATTGGGATGGGTGGGTAGAAGTGGTTGGGATGGATGGGTGGGATGAGAAGGATGGGAGAGTCGACCAAAAGAGGTGGATGAGCAGGGGGGATGCTCATCCTCATGCCTCTCACCCTCGTGCCTCTCACCCTCGTGCCTCTCACCCTCATGCCTCTCACCCTCATGCCTCTCACCCTCATGCCTCTCACCCTCATGCCTCTCACCCTCATGCCTCTCACCCTCATGCCTCTCACCCTCATGCCTCTCACCCTCATGCCTCTCACCCTCATGCCTCTCACCCTCATGCCTCTCCCCTCATGCCTCTCACCCTCATGCCTCTCACCCTCATGCCTCTCACCCTCATGCCTCTCACCCACATGCCTCTTGTTGTAAAATATATATCTATACAACATGCATGCCTAGATTAGGAGGTGTAGTCATTATATTTATTGGGGGGTTGTCGGTTGGGTTGACCATGTTGTAAAATATATATCTATACAACATGCATGCGTAGATAAGGAGGTGTGGTCATTATAATTATTGGAAGGTTGTTGGATAGGTTGACCAACCCCACATTTGGGTTGGTCAAGATTGGATTCGGTCCTAGACATTTGGTTGGCACTATTCCAACCAAATGGTCCTTGGTCCTAAGAACCAACCAATCACCAAGCATCACAATTTATGGTTGCTTGCCTTCCAAGCAATCTCTCCCATTGGTCCACATTGTGGCCAATCGGAGAGCACCACACTTTTTGGTTGCTTGCCCTACAAGCAACCTCTCCCATTGGTCCACTTTATGGCCAATAGGAGAGTTTTCCTTCCAACTCTTCCTTGCTCCTTCTTTTGTACAATAGAGCCTCTTAGCTCCCTACTCAATTCAATTCTTTCTCCTCTAAGCTAGTTCCTTCATGGTAATCAGAGCCACAATGGCTCACGCCACCTCTAGTCCATCCTAACTAGGACGGCCCTATGCCGTCCCTCCTCATCTTCGAAGCCTACCCCTTCCTTAGGCTACTTCCTGCGCCCCCCGTGCGCCCTCTCCCGCCGCGCTATTTCGTCGCGCCCGCTCTTCCTCCCGTCGCGCGCTTTTTGCCGCGCTCGCTCTCCCTTTCGTCGTGTGCCTCCCGTCGCGCGTGACAACGCGCTTCTGCCCGTCGCATCCTCCTACTGCGCCCGTTGTTGCGCTCCGCCGTCGCGGGGCCTGTCGTCGCGAGCCCTCCACATTTGCACGCACCCATTCGTCGCGCTCTCTACGCGCCCGTCCGCCACGGCTCCCGCGCACGCCCATCGACGAATCCTCCCGTCGCACCCCTGCTCTCCGCGCCTGTCGCCGATTCTGCTGTCGCGCGCGCACGCTCTTCGTCAATTTCTCCGTCGCGCACGCCTGTCGTCGATTCCGCCGTCGCGTGCACCTGTTCGTCGCGCCATTTCGGCGTGCTGCCAGCCGCCGCATCCTCTTTGGAGCGCGTCGCACAGCTCGGCGACTTAAGAGCTGCGCTCTGCGCATCTACTCTTTTCCTCCCTCCTCGTTCTCCTCCTCCTTTCCTTTTCCTCCTCTACCCCTTCCTTCCCCTCTTCCTCCTCAATGGCGTCCGATTCCTCGGAGGACCTTACCTCCATCGACGCTCTTGAGCTGCTGCTTGACAACACCGCGGCCAATTGGCCTTCCTATGCCCAAACCGTCACGGTGCTACTCTCCTCGGTGACGGTTAACGGCTACGACCTGAAAGCCGTTGTCCATCTGGAGGAGCGCGGTCTTCAGCCTGACCAGCCGGATGCTTCCGCGGGCCCTGCACCTCCTCCTCCTGGCGATGCTCCTGTCAGCCCCGGCCATCCTCCAACCTTCGCCCCTGACGTCAACAACCCTCTGAGCTCCGAGACCGCCATCCGCACCTACCGTGTCGGCCTCATCGACCACGTCCGCCAGCAGCTGCTCTACGAGGCTTCCCGCGTCGACAATGACGCCGCCGCAGCCGCCTACAACACGTACCACGCGGCACTCGCGGAGTACGCCAGGCGCGAGCGCGCATACATCACCGACCTTGCCGCCTGGCGTGTCGCTGACCGGCGCGCGCTCACTATCCTCCTCGCCACCATCCCTCGCACCCTCAAGCGGGAGCTTGCTCCCACCTCCTCCTCCCACCTCTGGCGGCTCCTCACTGATTTACACATCCCCTCCCTCCGTACTAACCTCCTCTCCCAGCGATCCCTACAGCTAGACATGGGCATGAGCTGAGCCTGGCTCGGCTCGGCTCGTCCAGGGGTCGAGCCGAGCCGGCTCGCCGTCAAGCCTGGCTCGGCTCGAGTCGAGCCGGGCACCAAACATGCCTGGCTCGGCTCGCATTTCTGTGGGCAAGCCATGGCTAGCTTGACGGCGAGCCGGCTCGGCTCGACTCGGCTAGCATGCGCTTAAGCCAACAGTAGTGTGGGTGGAGCCTATGCAAGCGCGCGTTGTTAAGAGTGGCGCGGGCTGCTTAAGATTTCTCGCGCGAACTAACCTAATGAGATACTCCTAGGCGCGCAGAATTCTAGGGTTCGCGAAATTGACGGGAAGTGGATTGTGAGGAGGAAGGAGGGTGCAAGAGGTTAGGTTGGAAGTTGTAGATGCAGTAGTGTGCAGTGCGGTTGAGCGGGGCAAAAGGGTTGGATCTGTTTTTGGTCGTCAAAGTTTGGGGTTGCGACTGGTTGAATTCGCGAGGTCGCAATGTCGCGGGAAAGGATTCCGCGTCAAACATTTTGGGCAAGCGTTTAGCGTTTACCCTTTACACGCAGCGTTTAAACGATAAACGCTGCACCGCTAGAGCGATTTCGGGAACATAGACTAGGAGTTGTTGGCGGGAGAGAGAAACGGGAGACACGTTTTGTCGAGGGGGAAATTTACCCTTGAAATCGAGTGGCGAGCCACCTGGCTCGAAATCGAGCCGGGGATGAGCCGGCTCGACCCCGGCTCGACGAGGACATTGTGTACGAGCCGAGTCGAGCCAGATCCCGAAAAGAAAGGCTCGGCTCGTCATTTTGGCGAGCCGAGCCGAGCCGAGCCGGATGTGGCTCGGCTTGTGCCCATGTCTACCTACACCACCACCGTCTTCCGAGGTCGCGCTAATCACTGCCTCCTATACCATCCCACAGGTCGCCTCCTCTCCCGTATTCGCTTTTGACCCAGCCTGCTCCTGTCGATCCCTCTCCCATCCCATCATCCTCCACCACAGGCTTGGTCACCCCAACTTTGCCACCCTCCGCTCGACCGTCTCCTCAGGTCTCCTTCGAGGTCTTCCCCTCACCCTCCCTCTCCTCCCTCCCTCCCCTGCCCCTCCTTGCTCCGTCTGTGTTCAAAGCAAGCTCACGCAGCTGCCGCATCGGAGTTCCCCCTCCGCTGCTGCTCAGCCGCTTGATCTTGTTCACATGGACCTCTGGGGCCCCAACCCCTCCCCTTCCCGCAAGGGCCATCGCTACATGCTTGTTCTCGTCGACGATCACAGCCGATATTCTTCCGTCTCCCTTCTTCGCTCGAAGGGTGACGCTCCGGTTGCGATCATCACCTGGCTCAAGCAGGCGAGCACCCACTTTGGCCGCCCTGTGCGCCGCCTTCACTCTGATGGCGGTGGCGAATTCCTTAATCGCCAGGTAGCCTCCTACTGTGAGCTTCATGGCATTCGCCAGACTCACACCTTCCCCCACTCCCCTCAGCAGAATGGTGTGGCCGAGAGCCGTGTTCAGGAGATCACCAAGATTGCTCGGTGTCTTCTCGTCCATGCCTCTTGCCGTTTAAAACGGGATCGTATAAAACGGTCGTATAATACGATTAAAACAATCGAAAGTTGAATTTTGTGTTTGGTGCAAAAAAACTGCCGTTTTATACGACCGTTTTTTTTCGTACCACCGTAGCTCCTTCCTCACCTTCACCAGCAGCAACAGCAGTGGCAGCAGCAGCAGCAGATGCAGCAGTAGCAGCAGACGCATCCTCAGCAGCAGCAGCAGCAGCAGCAGTCCTCCCATTCATTTTCCACTCCTCCCTCTTCGAGGACTCCCATGAGGAGTTCCTCAACCTCCACCTGCATGATCCAGCCCTCCTACCCATCGCCCCTAACCTCAGCGGCACACAAGTCTTCGCCTTTTCTTCCGCCCCTACCATCATTGTCCCCGCCGCGTACGAGGAGGCCATGGCGTGCCCTGACGCCCACCTCTGGCTCGTGGCCATCCTCAAGGAGTTGGAGGTGTTTATTACCAACTCCTCCTTTGTGGATGTGCCCCGGCCTCCCTCTACCAACGTGGTCAAAGGGAAGTGGGTGTTTCGGGTGAAGCAGCTGCCTGGTGAGCCGCCGGTCTACAAGGCCCGCTACGTCGCCAACGGCTTCACCCAACGCTACGCTGTCGACTTCTTCGACACCTTCTCTCCCACCGCCAAGCCCGCTACCATCCGTGCAGTGCTCGACCTCGCCGCTCGCCTCAACATGGAGATTCACTCCATGGACGTCTCCAACGCATTCCTCCAGGGCGTCTTGCGCGAGCCCATTTACATGGAGCGTCCTGCCAGCTTCCACCTCCCCTTTCCTTCCGACTCTGTCTAGCAGCTGCGTCGGTCGGTCTACGGGCTCAAGCAGGCACCAAGGGTGTGGCATGCCAAGCTTGCTGCCACCCTCGCTGAGTTGGGCTTCAGCACCTCCCGCGCCGACCCCAGCCTCTTCCTCCGCACCTCCCCCTCCCCCTTCTACATCCTCGTCTATGTCGACGATATGATCCTCATCACTGCCGACTCTGCCGAGCTCAAGTGCGTCAAGCGTGAGCTTGGCAGCCGGCTCAAGTGTAAGGATCTTGGGGAGTTGCAGCACTATCTCGGCATGGAGATTACG